CAAAAAAACACGAACGAAGGCTCTGCGCCGGCAAGCGTGAAAAATCCAACGAGCCTTTTCACCCATCGAAGTTTATCTTTTCACGCTTATCCGGCGTAAACGGTCTTCGAATAATTATATCCGACGATTCCCTGCTGGCAATTAAACGCGGCTACCCGCACGCAACGAGCGTACACGGAGGATTCGAGCCATTTCGAGCTCCGTAACCAGCACCATCTTCCACGCTGCTACGTTTACATTAAACCAGTTTCGTTTAATGGATTTAATTCGCGCGCCCTTGCTTAGCAAAAGCTAAGCACCACAACTTCGCTTCGAAACCGTATCAAAATCGCCGACATCCAGGTGGCGCCCTCGAACGAGCAAAACGAAAAGACCTCGGCCCTCGCCTCCTATAAATTTCAACAAATATCAATCCTGAGCTTTTTGTTTTTCCCTCTTGGCATTTGTTATTAACGCGATTAATCCTCTTGGCAACACCGATCGACAATCGTTAATTGACGATCGCGCGAGAAACAAAAGACTGTACAATGCGAATCGTTGTTTTCTGAACGCGTAGGATGATTCGCATTGTGCTTGGCCAACGTTTAAATTAAATATACATCCGAATGAAATAATAAATGAAATTAAATGCATAAGATACACGCTTTCCAGACTTACTAATACATTGTTTAACCGTGCAACCTGTTGATCGTTTCGAGCAACATTATTCCGAAGATATCTCGAGAGAAAAGGATTAAAAAATTAAAACCTAATTGCAAGCTTCCCTGTTGAGCATAGAGCAAGAAATCGGTGCCGACACACCAGAAACCTTTCGAGTTTATCCGTTCCGCGAAACTGGATCGCGTGGAACAACAAGAATCCGCCACGAAGGACTCCCGCCAAGTGATACCGATCATCTTTCTGGGCCCAGAAAGAGCCTCGGCTCCCGATCCGCTCAAGGCGGATCCCCGAGCGAAAGGAGAGAGAAAGAGAGGTCCCCGTTCCGCGAAACTCGATCGTTTCGAGAGGTAGAAACCTGCTTTCAGGATTCGAACTGATAACTATCGTCTCTCTCTCTCTCTCTCTCGTCTCAGGGCTCCTCAGGGCTTCGAGGAGTTAGGGATCGGCCCCCTTCCCCCTTCCTAAGATGTTATCAGGGGGAATATCTTTAGGTGATCGGCAACGCCATTATTTTATGGAAAGAGAGAGAGAGAGAGAGAGAAAATCAGGTCGATAGATCGCCAACGCTTCTTTACCGACCGATCTATGAGAAAAGCGTGGACTGTTGGCGGAAAACGACTCGACGGAGCCGTTGGATGATAAGAAGTTGAACCAGGATACAAGAATCGATCCAAGAATGACAATGAAGAGGCGTTAGATCTTTCGTTAAATTCTTCGGGTTTTAATTTAATTGAATATTATAATTTTAATCTATTTGTTTCACGTTTGTTTAATTATTTGAGTTGAACAGAAATAAATACGATTTATAGATTCGTAATAAGTAGATCTCTTAGAAATTTATATAACAAGCTTGATAAACGAAGCAATTCCAATTATTACAATTACTTCCAATCCTGTTTTTCCACGCGTCGAAGATTGCGAAAATCGGAGATTTGGGCGAGGAGGGGGTCCACGTTAGGCGTCGCGACGATCCGCAACGAAAGCAAAGCGACGACAGGGGCTAGCGGTAGTAAACGGTGGCGATAAATCAGTCGAGCGGCCGAGAGCCGCGCGGTTAATTAATACTTCGGCAAAGAGCGGTCCGAGCAGGCCGCGCGAACCTTCGCGTCGACCATGAAAGAGTTAATTCTTCGCTGGCTTCGGTGGCTGACTCGCGCAGAAGAGACGATCTCGATCTCGTCCCCCGTCCGACCGTTGACCTTTTCCACAGCCGGCCCTCGACTTATTAAATCGTGGCGGGCTCAGAGCGGATTTGGATCAAAATTCAAATCATCTTTTCAATTCGAGGCGAACATATTCTCCGATTGGATTCATATAAAAAGCAGCGAATGGTCGATACAACTCGAGTTTAGATACAGGTTTCCAGGTTGTATGTAGAATTTCATTCATGAAATTCATTGTTGAAACCCGTTGCACGTTCTTTTGAATAAATGACGTTCCCTCACGCAAGATGTACACATTGATAACTTCGAGCCGTGCAGAAACATCGTGTGATGGATTGCGTATTATCGTAATTGTGCTCAACTTTGAATAATATTATCTCGCACAGACCATAATCGAGATTTTTCCTTCGCTGTTATTACGTTACGTTATCAATTCCTATCGTACCATTATTTAATCGCTCGATATGTTAACGCTAAATCTATCGATCGGTATTGTGGACAAGGTACAAAGTACAAATATTGAAAAGAAAAAAAAAAAAGTAAATACTGAAAAATATATTGTACGTATACATATTTAAATGTATGAAAAAGTTTGAACACGGTCAATCTGATTCCAAAAACGAAAAATCGTATCTGGAATATGCCATGAGTTGAGAATCATCTCACGATACGATTCTCCGCAAAAGAAAAAAGAAAAGAAAAAAATTACAATTTCCAAAAGGACCTTCCTCCTCCAAATCGCACGAATCCCGCAAAAAAAGAACTCGACTCGAGCGCGCCATACTCGGGCTTGTTTACGCATCGATTAATTAATTTCATCCTATATATATATATCCACGGCGGGGATTAAACGGCGATCGTCCACGTCGAACGGAAAAAAGGACGAAAAGGAGGGAAACGTAAGTTATTAAGACGCGGACAGGCGCGAAGACCGTGCCGCATCGGCGCAATTCACACGGGCTGGGGACGATTAAATTGTCAGCTACGCGCCTCTATAAATAACGCGACACGCAGCCACTCGAGTGGCTCACGCACGCGACATACCGGGCGCAGGAATCCTCGTTTCACCGCGATGAAAACCGTATTTCGCCCCGTGGTGATCGCGACGCGGTGGAGCAAATAGGCTCCACCTTTTAAAACGAGAAGTTTTATCCGGATAAAATCGCCGTTTAAATCTCCCGCGAATTTGTCCCGGTTTGAACGTGCCTCGTAAAGCTCGCGTTTTATTGGTCGGCGAGGGCGGGAGGGGGGGTTACGATCGAGCGAGCCGCCATTTCGACTCGTGATAAATCGGAACAGCTGAGGACAACTGTTG